ACTCACAAAGTGTCAGAAATAAACCCCTCTCTCTTTTCCTCCGTACCCACGTCTCTAAAAACGGGGAACAACGGAGCTGATCCAGATTTGCTGTGTCATGACGACATTACTAAAATGTGGGCGGGCTTTACACCCACGGGCCAATCCGAAACGTTGCTGTCAGAAACAATGAGACGTGTTCTAAATGTCTCTAAATGTCTCTCTTTGTCTCTCTGTCGGTCTCTGTGTCTCCAGGCTCGTTTTGGGACTCTCTCAGATTACTTCCAGGCTCTCAAGAAGGTGTTACCGGTCTCGTCTCTGCCGACGGTCCGCGGAGACTTCTTCACGTACGCCGACCGCGACGACCATTACTGGAGCGGATACTTCACGTCCAGACCGTTCTACAAGAGGCTGGACCGCACGCTGGAGGCCACGCTACGGTGAGTCTGAGGCTGTAGCATCAGACATGCGTTCAAAGATATCTCCTGACCGCACGCTGGAGGCCACGTTACAGCGAGGAGATATCATCAAACATGTGTTCAAACTAATTATATGTTAATATTTATAGATGTTATTTTGATATTTTTATGATTTTTGAAAACGTTTTATTTCATTATTATTTTTAATATTTGTACTAATTTCTCGTGTCTATATAATTAAAAGATGTGTTTATAATTATATCTTTCATTATAATATTTTTATAAAAAACTTAACACACAATATTATTACTATTTCCTCCGACAGAGCGACGGAGATCCTGTACAGCCTGACTCTGGCTGCGATGCGTTCCCATGGCGACGGTCGCCTGGCGACAGGGTTCCCGGCACAGGATCACTTCCTGCTTCTGACGGCTGGGAGGCGGGGCTTAGCGCTGTTCCAGCATCACGACGCTGTCACCGGCACCGCCAGAGACCCCGTCGTCATAGACTACGGAAACAGGTGCTACTTCCTGTTAGCATGGGGAATATGTTAGCATAAAAAGTAAGGAAACGTGTGTTCGGTAGATTATTTCTTCTTTGTTGATTCTCAGCAAAAACTCTAATACCGCTGGAAAGCCTGTTTCCTCTCCAATGGAGCCACGTGAGTGAGGAACGAGCAGCAGAGCGGAGTGTGCGGGGCGCGCCCATGAGACATGCTATCATCCAATCACCAAACAAGAGTCAGCTGTTTGGCTTTGAGAGGAGATCTGTCTCGTGGGCGCGTCTCAAGGTTCAAGGCTGTTATTGTCATGTGTGCATACAGTGAGGATATATCAATGATCTGATCAGAGCAACACAATAACACGATAACAGAGTTAGAGGAAAGTCTCCTCTCTCCTCTCTGATGCTCCTCTCCAGAGGAAGGTGTTTTGAGTGGGGGTGCTGAGGTGCTGGACTCCAGTGAACACTATTACGGGCGCTATAGAGCACGCACACAAGCGCGAGCACCAGGGGCTACAGTGGAACCCGCCACTGCTACAATGAAGGCTCGATAACCAGCTCACGGCATAGAGTGAGTCAGGGTGCATCTGAGATTAGAGAGGGTGCAGTGGTAAAGTGCTATTTTTGTGTTGAGTGGACCTAACACCCTCTAGGGCAGGGGGGCCCAACCGGTCGATCACGATGGGCCAATTCAAAGTCCATCTGTCTCATCTGCAATGCGAGCGTGGCTTTATCGGAGAAGGGTAATTTAGGAGCGGCATTTCCAAACAGTGCACAAATGCTACGAGACGGAATTCCCTCCTGATTCTGCCCTACGCTCCCAAAAGGGGAGGGGCCTGAGAGGACAGCTAAATGCACAGCAGTCCATTTTCACCAGGCCCAACAACAAGAGCAAGACTGCTACCATAGCATCTCATCGTGTCAGTCACGTTCTGGAGAAACACATGAAGTCTTTCAAAGACGGAGAAGTTGTGAAAGAAGCATTCCTGGAGGCTGCCGGCGCGCTTTTGGGGGACAGTAAAAATAACAGTAGCATTTCAACAGGTTTTTGATATGATAAAAACTCAAGTTAGATACCGTTATTAATCAGCTCTAAGTTTTAGTTTGAACTCATTCATTATAATTATTGTACAAAATGGTCACACGCACTTCTTATTTTATTTCAACTAAAGTATTATTATTATTATTTCTACTATTATTATATATGTAATAATTTTTTTATATATATGAAATATCTGTTCTTTTTTTTTTTCACTTTTCATTTTTCAAAAGAGGGTGCATAACGACTCAACTGAGGGTGCAATGCACCCTTATGCACCCCCGTAGAACCGGGCCTGGGCAGGAGCTCCCCCGGGAAGATTTTTTTAAATATTGAAGTTAAAAGCATCAATCTGGTGCACTTTGAGAGCAACATGAAGAGATCTATGGATACATCTCTCAACACCCAGATGAAACACAACTGGAATCAGATGTTCTTTTTCTTTATGGATATTTTACAAATCACTGTATGTTTTACTGCCATATAGTCTTTCATAACTGTTTTTCCTTTATTCTCTTATTTCTTTTAGAACTATAATAATCAAATGAAGGTGTGCCGCGGAAATAATCTTTTGAATAATTTGTGACCAAACCGTTTGAGACCCACTGAGATAACTTAGACTAAAGTGAACTATCTA